GTCTGGTTACCTTTTTGTTGATTTAGTACTTTTGTCTGATGATGTTAACAGCATTGTTACCTAAACGTCACACAAGAATTGCATTAATTTGTATTTGGTTTTGTTGCTTTTTTTATTTAGCACTTTTGTCAGAATTGTTACTGAAACGGCACGCAAACATTGTGTTAATTTGAATTTGGTCTTATAACTTTTTGTGTATTCAGTACTTTTGTCTGATGATGGTGTTAGCATTGTTACCAAAACGTCACACAAACATTGCATTCATTTGAATTTTGTCTTATTACCATTTTGTTGATTCAGTACTTTTGTCTGATGATGTTAACAGCATTGATACCGAAAGGTCACACAAGCATTGCTATAATCTGAATTTGGTCTTGTTACTTTTTTGTTGATTCGGTGCTTTTGTATAATGATGGCAACAACGTCGTTACTGACATTTCACAATCATTTCCTCAATTTGGTTTGGTGTTGTTACCTTTTGTTGTGAAGCTATAAGTAAGATTGTGGACGGATGTGTAGATCTTCTTCGACGGTTCCTGGTGGAAGCAGCTTCAGCTGACTCAAGGATCATTGAAGGACGTCTACTGTTGACTCAGACAGGTTCTTTGCGATCTCCTTGGTTCTTCGAGACTGCTCGTGGGAACGGCTCATCTTCGACGTCAGCACCTAGTGAGGATCCTCCGTGGATGATCCCAGCTACAGGTCCAGAGCCCGCTACGGAATTCTGGACTCGACCATACTATGTGTGCGCCTCGGGACGCTGGTTCTGTAGCTTCACTGTACTGATGCACCAACCACGTTCTCGCAAACTCTCTGGCGTTCTCAGCGTGGACATTGATGTCTCACATCTTGACATCAACCAGTGTGATGTGCCTTCTTCCTCCTCTTCCATGTCTGCATTCCTGCGGACTCACAAATGTCACAGTGTCTCCACACAGGTAAGTCTTCCTCTCTACTTTCTTCTTACAACCCCATCAGTAATTGCAAGTAACCAAATTTGACTATCAATAGATTTAAATCTCCTGGACATTGATTAAACATATTTCTTGAAAATAAAGATACTTCGGCCAGTAAATCTTTTATTACCTCGACGTTTCGACAAAAATCTTTCGTCCTCGTCAGAAGCAAACAAAAATTTAACATTTAGCAAGGCGTTAAAAATATTTCTAAAGTTCCAAGGGCGTTCTCACACGATATTTAAAATTTTTGTACAACATCTAAAGCACGAGTCAAAAATAAATATTTAACTCACAAAAAAAAGACTCTATATATATATATGATCTTATATATATGATATTATTTTCAAGAAATATGAATGCCGGTCAGGCAGCCTCAATATTTACGATTAATTAAACAATTAAAAAGTTTCCGGAGATGAGTTTCTTTTTATTTAAATCGTATCAAGCTTTCGGATATCTCTGCCCTTTAACAAGAGAACATACAGTTTGGTATCATGTGACGTTTTATTCATTGTACATGTTCTCTTGTTGAAGGGCAGAGATACCTGAAAGCTTAACACGGTTTAAATAAAAGAAACTCATCTCCAGAAACCTCTTTAATTGTTTAATAAATGTCGCTATAGCACACTTGTATATATTTATGTGACAATATAATACGGTGGGAAGAGAAATAATCACACCACAAGTTGGAAGAGGAACCCAGGCAACCAGAGAGAGAGAGAGAGAGGGAGAGACGGGCCCGGGACAGCCGGGCGTCCGTTCGGGTCGCACACAATCCCCAACTGTCTTCAAAGTCCCAAGGTGTTGACTGACAGACCCCAGTTGTCGCCCCTTGGAATATCGCTGCTGTCTCAAGTGACCGGACTTTACATCCCGTCTCTCACTGGGTTGTCTCTAGGTTTGCTTTATTATTCCTGGAAGAGTATATATTATGAAATATATATAAGGGTATACCTGTATCTTGGAAAGAAAAAAAATTCCCCTCTCTTACACAGATCGAAGTACGCCTTTGAGAAATAAAAGATATAAGAAAAGAAACCATACCCTTAATTCCTTATTGATTATTTCAAAATCTTTTAGATTCTTCACACAAATGATTAATGTTGATAAATGTATAGAGAAAGTATATATAAGTATAGAATTCTTAAGTAATCACAATATGGTGTTCGTGGGTAGAACACAAATTATCAAATCACCCCACACATTCAGATAACGGAAGCGTGTGTTGAGATTTCTTGTTAAAAAAACAACACTACTCTTTTGGCCACCGGTATTTAAGACCCGGATGATGTCCAGCTATCGTTGCTAAGCAACGAGGATCCTCTGGGACATCTTGGATTTGTCACCAGGACGGTCGCCAAATTGGGAAAAAGTCGCGAACTCATTTCCATTTAGCGGATAAATCCTTGATGACGTCAATTTATTCTCCTATATATATAACTAATTCTGTCTTGAATGTTTCTTCTTTTTTTTACTGCTTCTTCTTAAGGTAAAATGACATTTCTCATTTTGATATAGAATAACTTAGACATAGTGCAATAGAATTATACAAATTTTGTCAGAAGGATGAAAAACATGTGTAAATAGTTTTCTCGGTTTTTTTATTCATGTTAATACTGAATTGTATATATTACTTGATTTATGATCAATTAAAACCATTGTTATACTGGGAGAATCCTGTATGGGGCTTGATCCTTAATAAAGGTTTTGTGTGTGTGTATAGTATAACTTCCAATTGGCGACCATCTAAAATTCTTATGCAACTTTTTTCCACTAATCCTAGTTACATAGTATGTACTAATGGATGTTTTTTTAATAGTTAATAAAAAGGATTTTTTCCCCGAAAGCGCTTACACGTTGTATTAAATAATATTTGAAATATAAAAATTACGTTAATTATTTATTTTTAATTGAATTTTTGAAAATATAAATACACTATCTTTATTCTGTTTCATTTTACGTTGTTTTAGCCGTTCTACACTCTTGAATTCGTCATAATTAGGACTAGGTTGAATCTAATTAGTGGTTTAATTAGTTAGGTTAGCCATTCTACACTACTGAATATCCCTTGATTAAGGATACGCTCTGGTTAATTAATGGTTAAATTGGTTATGTCAGGCGTTCTACACTCTTGAATTCGTCATAATTAGGACTAGGTTGAATCTAATTGGTGGTTTAATTGGTTAGGTTAGCCATTCTACACTCTTGAATATCCCAAGATATGCTCTGGTTGAATAATGGTTTAATTGGTTATGTTAGCCGTTCTACACTCTTTAATTCGTCATAATTATGATTAGGCTGAATCTAATTAATGGTTTAATTGGTTAGGTTAGCCATTCTACGCTCTTGAATATCCCTTGATTAAGGATACGCTTTAATTGAATAATGGTTAAATTGGTTATGTCAGGCGTTCTACACGCTTTAATTCATTATAATTATAACTAGGCTGTGGCTAATTAATGGTAAATTAGTTAGGTTAGTCATTCTAAACTCTTGAATATCCCTTGATTAAGGATACGCTCTGGTTAATTAATGGTTAAATTGGTTATGTCAGCTGTTCTACAAATTCGTCATAATTAGGACTAGACTGAATCTAATTAATGGTTTAATTGGTTAGGTTAGCCGTTCTACACTCTTGAATATTCCATGATTTGGGATACGCTCTGGTTGAATAATTGTTTAATTGGTTATGATAGCCGTTCTACAACTCTTGAATTCACCATAATTAAGACTAGACCAGGGATCGGCGAATTGCGGCTCGTGAGCCACATGCGGCTCTTTGGATGTGAAGTTCTTTATATAGTTCCATACGTAAATATTATTTATGCGAGTACTATTCATTGTTGGCAAGAAACAAATGTATGACTCTTCAGAATCTTTAAAATTTTGTAAATTGCAATTTCTGACTCTTCAGACACAAAAGCTTGACGATCCCCTAGACTAGGCTAAATCTAATTGATGGTTAAATTGACCATGATTATGGTTATGCTTTAGTTGAAGGTAACATAGGTGTTTTTGACGATGTTTATCCACTGATCGCTGTGTACAGTGCCTATTTACTGCCGGCTACGGATGGACAGTGGGAGCTTATCACTGCCGTTGCCGGACAGGATTCTACTCGGCCACCCTGGGCACGCCGCTGTTCAACGGCTCCTTGGTTGAAGTGGCTTGGAGGGACCGACAGACCATTAGCAGGTTCGGCTGCTCTACTCCTCTTAACGGACAATTACGTATTTGCATAGACATATAGAACATAAAACACATCATTCAGCACCAATATTTCCTCTCCACATGAAACTAACTTTCTACTTTTCTATCATGTTGGAGATTTTCATAAAATATTCGGAAAATTCCTTATTTGCATAGGCATATAGAACATAAAACATAACATTCAACACCAATTCATCCTCTCCAAATAAAACAAACATCATACTATTTCATCACGTTAGAGATTTGCATAAAATATTCGGACAATTCCTTATTTGCATAGGCATAGAGAACATAAAACAAACAACACCAATTCATCCTCTCCAAATAAAACAAACTTTATACTATTCCATCACGTTGGTGAATTTGCATAAAATATTCGGACAATTCCGTATTTACATAGGCATATAAACATAAAACAAACCATTCAACACACCAATTCATCCTCTCCAAATAAAACAAACATCATACTATTCCATCACGTTAGAGATTTGCATAAAATATTCGGAAAATTCCTTATTTGCATAGGCATATAGAACATAAAACATAACATTCAACACCAATTCTTCCTCTCCAAATAAAACAACCATCATACTATTCCATCACGTTGGAGAATCTGCAGAAAATATTGTAAATACTTAATCAACTACACCGTAAAAAATGTTTCTTTTATATCCTAGATGGCATGTCGAATTAAGGAAAGGCAAGCAGGTGACACCAGATGATGGCTCTTTAGCATCATATGGTTTTACGGGCTATTAACCAAAGTGTATAATTTTCGAGCCCCGAAAAAAACCTCCCCGGCGGGGAATCGAACCCCGGTGAAAAGGTAATAGCTTACAGCATCCAGGTTCCCAGGTGGTCACCCTCCCAAGTACTGAACAGGCCTGACATTGTTTAACTTTGGTGATCGGACGAGAAGCGGTGTTTTCAATGGGGTATGGCCGTAAGCCATTTGATGATGGCTCTTTATTTGGTCGTCTGACTTATAAATAACGTGATGATGATGATAAATAACAAGTCAATGACAAAAATACTCTGTTGTCAAAATAGACAATAGTTTCTTTTCAATTTATTATCATTGGCAAAATTTCGAATTAAAGAAATCTTCTACAGATATTTCTGTATTGAAATGTATATACTTAAAGAAACGCCATGTGGAAGAATTTTTAACTTGAAAGCTTGTCAATATAAAAATATATTGAAAAGAATTTTTTTGTGGAATAGTTTATTAAGTATTTAAAACTTTCTCTTGTCCTCAAAAATAGCGCTAGGGGGCTTGACTCATTACTTGTGAACCCTCTCAGCAGTTTTGCCATTTCAATCCACCAGACCTCTCTGCCAATTAAACCCCTTATGTGAACGGTCAGTAAATGGCAATTTTGTTTTTAATAACAACACCTGGCCATTTATTTATTTCCTTTCTTCTATTCTTTAAACTTCTACTCAAACCATGTAATTATTCAATTGTCTATGTAATATAGTTTTTAGTGTTGTTTCTTGACGCAAGCATCCCTTGTGGAGATATCGCTTCTGATTTAATGATAATAAATAAATAAATATTTATTTTTCTTATTTTTCATTTTGATATAGAATTTGCTTAGGTTGTTTAAAGATACATGAATAAGTTTGTGATATTGCAGTCGTGGTAATGTTAATTAAAATAGTTTAGATAAGAATAAGCTTTAATTGAGCTTATGAAGAATATAAAATACATAATTTGAGAAAGTACTACCTGCCTTATGGCGAGTAGAATAAAGAAAATAAAAGATTACATATTTACAGAAAGGTTTGAGCCGGCCAACAGGAAACAATAACAATGGGTTTATATAAAGGGAGAGTCGCGAGACATCTGGTCAGTAGTTTTTTTTTCTAGAAATTATAATTTTAAAATAAAATAACATTTTTATATAATATATATATATGTAAAATTTTTCTTCCTTTCATTCCTTGAATATCTAATTGCAATTATTTTGGATTTTATTGTATATATATATGTGATACCGAAGTTATTACTAAGACTATGTGGATGTGCAGCCCTTCATACGACCTTCTGTACGTATGCAAGAAATGTAAACCCGGCTGTGACACGTGTGAGGATGATTCTTCATGCCTCTCTCATTACAATTGGGCTTTCAGGTAATATACCTTTATCTTAGCTTCTCATTGGGAAAGTATACAGGATTTTTCATTTGTGAATAATCCTTTGTTAAAACAATAAAGTGAAAACATCAGTCTTCCAAGGATAAGTTTCTTTTTATTTCTATTTATTTATAAAATGAAACCTATTCCTGGAAGAGCCTGATATCTTCACCTTAATACAGTATTTTGTAGATTAACTCTTTATCTCAGATTTAAACGTAACGTAATGTATGATTTACGAATTCCAGGACGCGAGACACCTACTGCTGGAATGCCCACTCTTCTTCACCGCTAGACAACAGACAATAAATAATAAAACGACATTTGAAATACCATCCCGCATGTGTTTCTTTTCAACGAAAAATCAAAATTTATTTCAAAGAGAAACAACGATTATTTCCAACCTTTTGGATGAGGTATGAAAGGGTGAATTGTGATGTAATTGTGGGTGAGTAATGATAAACGGAAAATCCCCATCCCCCGGAAAATTCCCATCCCTGGACACTTTTATTTTTCCGTTTATCATTACTCTTCACAATTCACCCTTTCATACCTTATCCCTAAGGTTAGAAATAATCGTTATTTCTCCTTGAAATAAATTTCGATTTTTCGTTGAAAAGAAACACATGCGGGATAGTATTTCAAATGTCGTTTTACAATCATAAGCTGCATTATATTGTATTACAATAAATAATGTTGTAGATCTATATCAATTTGTAAATAGCAGAGAGAATTATCATAGATTTAACTATTTTTGTAAATATATTTATGATTATCTTTCAAACCTGAAAGGTTCAGGTTCCTAATATATATTTTTGTTTCTCTTTTTGTTTTAGTTACTTTTCTTGTATAATATGTTTATAACTGTTTCTGTTTAAAAAAAAATGTAAATCGACGCAATTATCCCTAGCCGGGATATCGCGTTTTGTGTGTTGAAATAAATAAAGTAATGTATGATTTAAGCTTTTTTTTCATGATGACCTAAGATATTTTTCTCTTTATTTATATTTTATATTGAAACCTATATACTTAGTTGTGTAGAATCTTATAGGAACGATTTTTTAAAAAGCGGTTTCAATATCCCTCCCTCTATTTCTATATATAATAAAATAATAATTATTATTAATATAATTATTATAAACATATGAATACACTATCTTCCCGCACCTTCCTGTTACATATATATATATATACATATTGACACGTGGAAAATTAGGGAAGACAAAAACTTCAGGAGGAGATAACGATTTATTTCAGGGAAGGACAAACTATGAATGGTAAACAAAAGATAAGTAACGAGGGAAATTTACAGAGCAGCAAAATATAAACATAAAAATGACCACTCTGTTAATAAAATTAATAAATATTTGTTACAATATTTTTAACATAAAAAGCGTCTTTATGCAAATTTGGCCTTTAATTACATATTTCTTGTTATCTCAAGAAGCCTCTGGGACCAAACCTTTGGTCGTAGAGGTACAGTTTGCACTACGCTGACGAGGGCCAACAGCCCGAAACGAGTACGTGGTTGACTTTTCTTGATTTATCAAGAATGGGTTGGTCAAATATGAGGGAACAAGCTAAATCAACGTTTAGTTGATTTCTGTTCCGCTAGATGGCGCTCTACTATCTGAGAAGTTCATATGAGTGTGGTCAGGATATACCAATTTTGATTTTAATACCAACACCTGATCATTACTATTTTTACTTTTTTATTTTTTCACATTTATTAAATTGTAAATATCAGATAGGTTGATCTTTTTTGAGTGGTAGATAAGTGTAACGGCAGCTGGCATGCCTATATAGTAAATTATCAGTGAGCACATCACTGATGGTACTCTGTGCAGTTGACTTATTGTAATATATATCCACATGTAAACTTATGTCTGATATAATTTATATTATGTCTGAAGTTAGCCTAAAAGAAATAAAGACTTTTCTTTTTAACTTCCAAATACTTCTTGCTGATTAGCGTCAACCAACAAACACGAAGACGTTACAATAATAAAGATATTTGTGAAATGGAACTGTTGGAATAATTGTCATCTCTGCTGTGACAATATTTCGGGTGTGTGCGTATCAGAATCTCGCTGCTGACTATCTCAGTACTGTGTATCCTCCTTACCTTGGTCCTGGTTCTCTACGTATACCGGTACCGTAAACTGAAGGTGATCAAGGTGGCAAGTCCTATCTTCTTGTCTATCACTCTACTTGGGTGTGCCGTGATGTACAGTGAGGTAAGTTCACCCTACACTGCTCCAGTGATCCACTCATATCATTTGACTGTATTAACTCATCCATTGATGAGCTCTACTTATCCCACCAAACACAATTAACAAGCTCTACAAGCTTGATACCCTAATATGATTGAGTGGAGATAAAAAAGGAGAAGAAAAAGCTAAAGCACCTGACACACATTAATATGTTATAATACCTTGATAAAGGTTGTCGTTCAGCCAACTGAAATATTGATAAAATAAATGATATTTTGATCCAATATATGTCTTTTTAATTTAAAAATATCTTATATATAAAAACAATTCTTCTGATTATTTTGAAAAATAAAGGAAATGAAATAAGATTTTTAAATGAAAATTTATATGGATAGAGTAAGTAGTTTGATAATTATATTTATCTAAGGGCAGTTATTGAAGTAAAATATATACACATGCATATATTCGAAACTATTTTAAAGGCGTAAGATTCTTTTTTATATTAAACAATTTCTACTGCCCTTACTGCAATAAAGAATCTTACGCCTTTAAAATAATTTCGAATTTTGATAACAGATGGCGCGCTAGTATATTATATATAGATATATATAATTGATAAATATTATCTGAGTTCTTTGTAAAACGAAATGTGTTTTCCAGGTTGAAATAGTGGCTGTGACATCATTTAAAACATTGCTGATATTGCAGATGGCCGCCATCTTCCCTGTCCTGGACATGTACAGTTGTGTCGCTACGAAGTGGACACGTCACATGGGATTCTGTATCACCTACAGCGCCCTCCTCTTGAAGACCTGGAGGTGACAACTTTTGTACCATTAACCTATATCATACATAATCTCAGGAGTCGGGTGTTCTAAACCGTTGGTGTTTGACCGCTACCACCCAGGTTCAAATCCTGCATTGGACATTTTTTTTCTAATTAAAATAAAATCATAAAACAATATAATGCGGCTTATGATTATAGAACGACCTTTGAAATTTATCCCCTATGTGTGTTTTTTTTAACGAAAAATCCAAATTTATCCCAAGTAGAAACAACGATTATTTTTAACCTTAGGGATGAAGTATGAAAGGATGAATTGTGAAGAGTAATGATAAACGGAAAAATAAAAGTGTCCAGGGATGAGAATCGAACCCACAGTGTTCCGCTTACCGGGCAGATGCCATGTCCACTAGGCTACCCTGGACATATTTCCAATAAAATAAAATTACTCAAATGACCTTCGATTCTGTTAAAAATCCAACCCCACCAACGAGTGCAAATAATCAAAGGATGCTTTGGTAAATTTGTAAGTGCAAAGACGAACTGTTTTTCGCATATGTAGACATGTGATGCATTTACAGTAAAAGCAGTTGCTAACTACAAGATTATCATAAGCTATACCATGTGTACTAGGGATAAGTTGACCACTATATTGTCAAGTAGAAATGGAAGATGGAAGACTAACATATGGCCAATTAGACCATAACAATATGGACACAACATGGAGATTAAATTGGACGAACCTGCTGGGAAATTTTACACATCTGATTAGCCAGTTCCTCTACTATTGGGGTTGTTTATTTGTCGCT